ACACAGAATGGTGCCATCACTTGTAGGTCAAGAAGCAGATGTGAAATAAATACTTCCTATGCTCCCATATTTGGCAGAATATATTGACTGATCATTTTGCATAACTTAGTTTGTATGGATTTTTAGTGTGAATTCTAAAATCTACTGCAGCTTCTAAAACCAGCACCAAGAATTGCTATATTAATTCTATAGGCAATTATACATATATTTGAATGTATTCAGCAATGTATGATGTATTTTGTGGGGGCTGCTGTGTGCTTCTTTCAAATCTCTGATTCTTTAAATGCACATATACTCTTGGGCTACAAAGCTTCACAATCTTACCACAACTTACCTGTCCTATTGAGTAAACAAAAGCCTAGCAAGGACAGGAAATAAGACTAGCCAAGTAGTAATTTCAAGTGTTATGTACTCTTTCTTATTCATTAACATAAGATTATCACAGCATGGATTCGTGTTTTCCTCCAAATTTTAATGATCTGGCTTCCTGTTTGGAGTCACTTAACATCCCAATGGCACAAACTATAGTTGCTTGTCTTAATCTCTGTGCATAAGATGAAGAACTATGTAATGAATTTGCATTCTTAAGCTATTTTATTTTAATTACCTGTTCATGAATTTGAGTCAGCGGTTCTATAATGCAAGCAATTGATAGAGAAGGTTACAAAGTCTAAGTAGTTTGGGAAAATTCATTCAAATGGCTGCCATAAATTAAAATAATAAAAGGGGTTTTTTTTAAATTGGAAAATTACTTTAACCTGCAAAGTTATATGATATCTACAGACTGTAAAAAATAAGAGATCTAATCATATGTGAAAGTGTGGGAGTATCTTATTTACTGCCTAAATCAGCAAAATGTGAGCAGGCACTGGTGCCAACTTGTTTCATATGTTGCCTTTCAGTCTTGGCTGTTCCCCTAGGTACTCCAAGGTCTCTGTTAGGATCTCTGTCCTAACAACTAACACCTACTCTATTTTTCTTTCTTGTAGAAGATCAGATGTATTACCGGAATCTTAATTGTCTATTAATCATCTTTCCCATTATGCCCTTAGAACATTTGGTCTAATTTACAGTATAGTTTATCATGAAATAGGATCAAAACAAGTGTGGTGCACATAAAATTTTCAAGCATCTGATTGCTTCTATTTAAATTTTTAAGGATTGGAGAAACCTGGAATCTCTTGATCTTTTTACTCTTAAGAGTCCTTGGTGGTCATTGAAAGATACCTCATCCTCTCATGGGGACCCTGTGATTAAATTGGAATAGCAAATTTCATTAATATAAATAGGTAAGAAAGGTGAAAAAAAGAACCCTAAAAATTAGTAGTTTTCAAATTACACTTTAAAATCCTCATATGGAAACTGAAGATACTTTTTGCTGTGCTACTTGCCCCTATCAATATCAGTATAGAAACAGTATCTCTCAGAGGAGTGAACAATTCATTTCAGCTTTAACTGAATGTGAAAATTTAAAACCCAGCTTTTATGAGCTTAATTAGCTGCATTTCAGAGGGTAACAACAGCAGGCTCCAATTCATGCAAAAAGATAATAGTATGGAACAGTATTCTTCTGCAGTACTGCTTCTCTGGCACAAAGACCTTTAAACAATAAAATTTTAAAAGTCCCAAAGATTTGCAATCACTATGCACACCTGAAGCCAAGGCCTGCTCATTTGTGTACCTGCTGAGAAGTGCTGTGTTCCGTGTTCTTGTTTGTTTCCTCTGCAGAGCAGGCACAGCCATCACTGTGAGAATATCCATCTATGGCTGCAACATCTAGTGCACAAAAATGATTAAATTTAGCCATGGGACATTTTTCATTATGTTCTACTTCATATCATCTCCCAGCCCAGTATTCTTCATGTCTAAGATGTCCTAACATCCTGCGAGATGAATTTTTGAAACATGCCTAGTAAAATGTATTTGTGCCATTAACAATTATGCTTTGAACCAACCTTCTTTGATAGCTTTGACTAAAATATATTCTTCCCATCCCTGAAAATTTTGAAAGCCAGAGCTCTGGATGGAGCTCTGAACAACCCAGTCGAGTGAAAAGGGTCCCTGACCATGGTAGGGAGTTGGAACTAGATGATCTTTAATGTTCCTTCCAGTCTAAACTGTTCTATGTTTCTATGATTCCATTATTGGTCTTGTATTATCACCACTTACCTATTTGCTTGTCAGATGCAAGATGCTGCAGAGACCACCTTTTTTACTCCTTCTTCCTACTTCCTTGAATTGATCATCAGTTCCCAAATTTCTTTCTCTATGGTGTTCTTAGATCGTTTTTTCCTAATTTGCATTCATGGAAATTGAATCAGAATAGAATATCATTGCTGAGAGATGCCTCAACACCTGGCTTTTTTGTGTTTGATGTAGAAATAGGTAATTCTTGCTGGCTTGAAATTAGCCTATATTGTCTTTGTCTTCAGACAGTTTATTTTCTAGCTTCTTCTTCTGTCTCCTTTTGTGCCATTCCTGATTTCTAATTGCTCTGTATAAACACATCTTTCTAAAGAATATTCTCAGAACATCTCTTTTTTTAGTGTAGGATCTGCTAGTGTGTTTTATTTAGAAATATTATATTCATATATATTTGCAGTGTAATGTACTGGTGTCCTCTGATGAAAACAAATTTAATTTAATTGCATCAGTTACATAGAGTTGTGTGCTATGATTGTCCTTAATAACATATATTATTACAATGAGCTCAGGAAAGTTATGGAAGACTGAAGCAACATTTCTCTTTTAGATAACAGTAAAGTAACAGAATATTTTCTTTTCTATTTTCATTTCTGGAAAATGTTTACTTTTAGATTTTGATTACCAAATATTTTAGATCAGGAAATTAAATTTTCATTGTAACATGCAGGGAAGACCATATGCGTGCTGCCTAATTGTAGAACTTTTTTATTCTGTAATGTCCAATATTTATGCATGTGAATGATAAACATTTAGGTGTTCCTAAAACTAATAAACTTTTAGTTTCAGGTAGACTTGAACAACTATAATACAGTTTTCAAGTTTCTGTAAAATAATTTCAAAAAATGCATTTCAAGAAATCACCATGTTCCCTGAAAGATAAACATAGTTATTTTAATTAATCAGAATAACAGCAGTTAAAACAACCATGTAATATAGGTGCTTAGGTTGTACTTTAGAAAATGAGCTGGAAATTTTTGAATGAGAAAATGATGTTTCAAGTATGTATTTACATTTCAGAAGAACATTCACAGTACACAATGCACTTAATGTACTTTGTATCTGTTAAAAAAATGTAATCTCTGTGTTTGAGGTTAAAAAAAAAATTATTTAATATGTAACTTGCCACTAAGTAGATATTTTCAGTATTTTGTTTAGAAAGGTAACATTTATTTTTCTTAACATTGTTTTTTCAGAACTTAAAATTTTCAGTCTATTAGCTGTAGTCTTTTCTTAGATGAAAATACTTGGTTTGGACAAGGACTATCATAGTTTCTACTAACACAAACATGTATTTATCATGCTGGACTAATTAATGTTTGATTTAGGAATAAATCCCAGAAGTCTTCAAAATATTTTATCCAAAATATGGGGTTTATCTGCTTTTTATTTTAAAAAATCTCATAAGATAGTTGGTATCTTTTTTGGATTAATTTTATACAATTTCTTTGTCTACTGAATGTCCTTGCTTCTCTAATGCAACTCTGTCCCTGCTCCTCTTTAACACTGAAGAAAGCAGAAATCTGAGACTGATGCACATGCAAGAAGGAAGGGTAGAAATGCTCTTCTGGCACTTTTGATGCAGGATACATTTGAAAACCAACTGAAATTTCTTGCCAGCATGTTCTTGACAGTGGGAATTATCCTTTGACAGCAAAACTCTGGGATGTCAGTGACAGACTTGCTTAATATTTGCATGAGGAATTCAAAGAGCTTGCCACTGCAGCCTGGTTCTGAAGTCTGCAAAACACATTGCCACTTACATCTCTGCATGTAGTTGTTTGGGGACAATATTGTAAGCACTGGGGGAAACTCAGTGGTGATTCTTCTTTTCTTCTGAAAAGATGTTGAAGGTTGGCTGAAGTAGTTTAATGTTAAACTGTGGTTTCAAAGCATTCCAGATTATTCAGATACATTCTACATAGGTACCTAGCTGACATTGTCTTTATTTACATATTTTTTTATTCTAGTTATTAAGTATCTGAATGAATGCAAATTTTAGATTTACTATGTTGTCAAAAGCTTTTAAAGCTTATGCTTAAAAAACAATATTTTTCTTCTAGCAATGGTAGGAATGGGTATATTGTACACATAATTCTCTTTGTATTGGATACTTTTGTCAGAAAGCTGGCAGTGTTTGTTCAGATGGAGTCCATGAACTGCAGGGCTAAACAGATGCTCCTCATGAATTAGGTGTCTCAGACTGGTTTGCTCTTTGCTTTTCACCTGGGAATATTGTTGAATGTTTTAAGAAAAAATTACTTGAACAACTATCAAAACTCATTTTGCATCCTTGATTTTGCACCTAGGATAAAAGGGAATAGTAAGGGATGTTTCCAAAGCTGTTCCAGCCCAGATCTTCACCATTTCTTAAGTAAAGGAACTTCCTTAGAGTTTCATGACTTTGGTGATTGGCAGTGAGTTGCTCTGAAATAATTTAATTAAGAGTTAAATATTCGAGTTTATTTTATATCTTCTAATAAGAAAAAAAAAAAAAAAAGAAGAAAAAGACACAGTGTTTCAGAATTTAGAAATAATTTTGCATGTATGCACCTCTCCTTGATTCTAAACAGCAGAATGAACCACAAAGTGACCACAGAAGTATCCCACTGTTCAAATGAGCTGCCAAAGGTTTCAGTTCCTTTACCGCAGGAGATTTTTTTTTTTCTTTTTTGCAAGCATAATTTAGAAGGGAGGGTCTAATATATGTGTCAAAAATACAGGGTTTTTTTGTTTGTTTGTTTTGTTTTGCAGTCTAGTGACTGAGTATTAATCTATTTCTTTATTCATTTTTATAGATTAGAAAAATCAACAGGAATTTTCCCGTAAACCAGCAGGTAAGAAAAAGAACATTTGGAGTTTTTTTAATTTATAATTTTAATTCTCACTTGAACTATCTTTAATTGTGTGGTAGTTGTTCATTATTCTACCGGAAGAATTCTCAGTAGATTTTCTTTAGAGAGTATCTTGGTGGTTTTACTTTCTCAACTCAAAGGGAATTGGAGTTTCATCAAAGTAAGAACATAACTAATGTTTTTAAATTAACCTATTTGATGCAGGTATATACTTTTCTTTGGATTGTGTCTTACCAACTTGTCTATAAAAGGGGAATGATATCATTAGCCAGAATAAATAAATGTTCCAAAGTTCTAAAAATGTATGGTCTTTTTGTGTTTTGGGGTTTTTTTGCCTATTGACAAGTGAAGGCATGAAAATTAATATTTGCACAACTATGTAAAGAAAGTATGAGTAAAAATCACCAGGGTGAAACTCAGTACACTATGAAGTTAATTATGTATATGTTGTGCATGACAATTATTAATAATATAATGACAATTTCCTTTTAAGAAATGTGTTAAGAGGAAACAAAGCAACCTGATTCATAAGAAGGGAAAAACTGCTTCCTTGTAGAGGAGAGAAATATGTGTAGGACTGAGCTGTAAACTCGACTTCAAGAGGACAGATTTGAGGAAGAAAAGTGCTTTCACCTCCCTTAGACCAAATCTTCAGTTAGCCACCATATTTCTCAGCTCCCTTTCTCCAGTCCAACTTTATTTATATGGGATTGTGCTGAGTGTATGTCACCAAGGAGGGAGATACTTCTATTTTGTTTTCTGTTTTCTTCTTGAGAAGATCCACAAATGTAAAAAATTAATGAAAATAATATACTACTACTATTATTAACAGTAATAACAACTATATTGGTAAGTATAAATGAAACTACAATAAATGAAGTTAGTATTTGCATTTGGGAATTTTCATAATAGTTTATATAGCATCAGATGCAGAGTGCAAAGATATGCTCCTATCTCAAAGGCAGGAAGAAGATCCTGCCTAGTGAACAAAAAGCAGTTAACTGGCTCCGTTTTCACTGTTATGATTCACCCTGAACTTATTTTTTGCTTTTATTACTGTGGAAAATAAAGGCAAAAAACAAACCAACAAAAAAAACCCCAAAACAATAGTTATAATGTCCCACCACTTTAACATATAATTCAAGGATCTCTGCTGTTTTGGAACCCTTGGCACACAGGGTGAAGAAGGCATTTTATTCTTCATTAGAACTCCTATGGAAAGCAAAAATATCTTTCCTGGCTTGAGTAGCTTTTTGGCCATGCTGTTAGGACAGCCTGCAATTATAATGCATTCATCTCTCATCAGCACCAATCATTATACCCCAAAGGAATTACTGTGGAGCACTTCAAAAAACTCAGTCAAAAGGTCAAACTGGAGAGAGAGGCTGATTTGATGGGCAGTGAGACTGGTAAGGTTTTCTTGGCTGTCAAATATTGGAGAAGAAAAGGTTTACTTATCTGTGGATGTTTGAAATTTTAGGGAAAATTGAATTAAAAAACAGATTTTCTTTTGGGCTTACCTTATGTAGAGAGGGGTGCAGTTTTTTATCATAAAAGAATTTAGCAAAAAACACCTAATTTAAGTGAAATAGTTAAATAATATTTTTGAGCAGAGTCAGAAAAGGCTACACAGATGTAAGGTTAATTTCTGTCTTCATGTGCAGCAAATACTAACGTGGTATGCAGGGAAGGAACAGGACTTTTTACTTGTTCTATCAACACATCATTTATCTAAAAATTGAAATACCATCTCAAATATTCTTGTCATCTTGGTTTTTTAAAATAAAATAAATTTTTATCTAAGAGGTTGAACGGCTAGTTTTAACCTCTTTCTGCAAGCACATCATGAACTTGAAAGTTGTCTTCATCCTAGTAGGCTTTTAAAAAAAATGGTGTGCATATTTAATTTCACTTAACAAATACCCACGGGTTTTTTTTAATGAGCAGTACCAGGGTAATTGAAGGTTATTTTCACTTAGAATTTTTATACATATATATGTGGATTTTAATTAGTTAAGTAAAGAATGAAGGCAGTTGTCAAACTAGAGTCAGGGAACCAACCTTTAGGATTCCTTCATGAAAATATTCTTGATATGGAGAAGAAAATAGGAGCACAGACAGAAGTGTTAGCATAACAATGAGGAAAAAAATGTACCTGCATAGGTGTGTAAGATGCTGTAACTCCAATAGTGTTATCCAACCATCTCAATGTTGCAGCAAGTTAAAAAGATAAAAGAAAAAGTTATTAGAAAAGACTTGTTGACTGCACATAATGTGGCAGCTTTCCTTTAATGCAGTAATTGTGAAAGCAGGTTTGTCTGGAAAATCGTTAGAAAGATAAGATGTATTAATTAAAGTTTAAAGATCAAAGATGACGGGTATTGATAAGAAGGTGGTAATTATTTGGACAGCATGAAGCAATAAGAAGTTCTCAGAATGGTGGTAGTACATTTAATAGTGGTGGAAAGATGATGCAAAAAATGCTGGAAGAGGACCCCATAGACAAAAAGAAAAAAAAAAAAATCTTTGACAAAGATTTTGGAACAAGAGGGAAATAATGTTCCCCCTCTCTAAGCTGACAGTGATGAAAAGAACACTTGAAATGATAAAAAATAGAAATTTAGTTGAGTTTTCTATATTGGAACTGTATGCATTTGATGTAAATAGGAGCATTTAAGAGTATAATTGCAAGTAGTTGAGAATAAAATAATTTTGGACTCAAAATATACTACATATTTCAAATATGCACTGAAAAATATAATGTTGTAGACAAAATTTCCATAAATCCTTAGAAAAAATTATATAGACCTCATAGCAGAGAGGCACAAAGAATGGAATATTTCAAGGCTTCAGCCAGAGGCTTCTCCAGTTGATCAGCCAAGATGGGACTAGAGGCATGGGCAAGTTTCCTTTTCTTGGAACTCCTGACCTGTGTCACACTGATTACAGCAAATGTCAGCTCCTGTGAGAGCCATCATTAGGCAGGTGAGTTTTGAAAGGCAGCATCAACTCCCTGCTAGCACTTTCCAGACGACAGGTCAGAAAACTGTGGTGGTGTAATGAGGACAAGCGCTGCCCATTCCTTTTCAATTCCCGATCTTTTCATTATCCACCATGAATTCACAAATGTGCTGATCTCGGCTGAAAATCGACTTGATAGCATCTGGAGAAATGAACATCAGATAGTCCTTATAAAACCCTCTGATCCTTTTCAGGGTGAGAAACCAAACGTAGCCTCCAGCTACTAGAGATTTTGCTACACATAATAACTCCCATTTGCTATTTGTGATTCATTGGGATTTGGCCTTTACTGGTTGCCATGCCAGAAGGATGAATTAGCAACATCTGGCTTAGGTACACAGTGGAATTCAAGGTTTAGATCTAAATCTTAGTCTGGCCTACAGTTCACTTCTTCGTGTCCCTGTGTGAACAAGTAAGTAAAATGCTCATAAATTGCATCTGGGAAAGTCATAAGTTTCTGACTCCCATTTTAACTTCTTTCACTCAACAAGGCAGTGGTACAAAGCAGATATCACACATGGTGAATTCGGGGAGTTGATTTTTCATTTCATTGATTATGATGCATGGCTATGTTCACATACATGTCCACAAATGTAATAAATAGACATTTTTTTCTCTACTATGTGGGCAACAGTCAAATCTCAAAAGTTTCACATGAAACAAAAATATCATGGCAGAGGAGTTTATTTAAAACTATTTTCCTGTGTTGTATCTCTCATCTCTATTAGGATGAATACAAAGGCTATTACCCTCCACCTTTCATATGTTTGATTAACAAAAGTATAATGGGGAAAAATTAATAATATTAAAATATTAATTAATAATTTAATATATTTTTTAAAAAATCCTTTTTGTTGAATACTATTACTCTTAATTCCACAGTTAGCATGAGAATTTTTGAAATATTTGTATCTATAGAAGATAGGAAATTTCATTAGTTTTAGCTTTTAGAATTTTTCTGCTTTATGGGAAAAGAATTGGTAGCTGGTCAACAAAGTTGACAGTTAATAACAAGAATCATGTGAGAATGAGAAAGAGAGTTTAGCTATGACTTGTTTTAAAACAAGATAATGCCATAATTAACTGATGCTGCACTGAGGCCAGAAGCTGGGGTATCATTGTGCATGTCACATTCAGCAGTCAAGAACCCCATTGTTTTGCAGACATTTTACATTCTTGATGGCCAAGAATGGGGTGATGGGACACATCAGATGGCATTCACAAATATACATGGTTATGCCCATTTTCTTTTACTTCTTATATTCTGTAATAAAAGCAACTATACACAGCTGTACCAGATCAACTATGTTTTATCTCCTCATATTCCACTTTAATAGGGTGTTTTCCAGTTTTATTAAAGTTCTACAGTTAGAACAATCTCATTTAAAATAAATTCTAAAAGTTTGACTCAGCGAGTTTATTTAATAAAACCTAACTTATATGTACTATATAAAGGTAAGTACACACAAATGCCATGATGAGTGTCTTGCCTGTCAATCAAGGCAGTGTTCTTTGCTGCAGATGTGTTGCATCTCTATTGCATCTGAAAAGGTGAATTCCATTGCTCAGGTGAATTGATAGGACTGACAGGACAACATCTGTTCTACTGATAAACGGCTGTATGAAAGACAACACATACCTTTCTTTTTTTATTACTAATTGCAGATCAATAATCTTCATTGCTATTGTATTGGTATTTTTTGAATACAGTGATTAAACAGAGAGTTCTGAAATATGGCATGTCCTCAAAATAAATCAACTCTATTCTTGAAGTACATTAAGAGCAATATTTTCTTTCCCACTCGTTAGTGTATTTTGTTGATTTTTTTCTTCCTAATTTTGCATGACTGTTGAATTAATTATTTTCCAGTATTCTGTTCTGTGGTACCTCAGAGTAGCCATCCTGCAGCTCTTGATTGACAGGTACTGAACTTTCAGATCCAATGATACATCTGCTCTGT